AAAAAAAAAAAAAAAAAAAAAAGTTCAGCCTGACATTTCTTGCAGCCCTGGATTGATTCTGTACTGTCCTAAGCAAATCAGGTCTGCAGTTGGCAGTTAGGCGATCATTAAGGACGCTGTGGGTCATGACAGAGCTTTCTCATTTCTACTTTTTTCAAGCCTGAAAAATGTGTCCCTGCATTTGCAGACTCCAGGCTTAAGTCAGGACCCCAGTAGTCTGGGAAAATCAGCCTGGTCACCCTGGATACTTAGGGGGAAACTGGCTTTATCTATACAGTGGAGTAGGGACTTGCCTACCACACAGCAAGCCCTATCCCTGAGTCTCAGCTAGACGTTCTACAAAGGGAGGTCACTGACGGACATAGGACTGGACATTTATACACTGCCTCCTGCTAAAACCAAACTCAAATGTGTGGAACTCCAATCATGAGCTGAGGTCAGGACACACCTCCTTCTTGTACCCCAGCAGCAGAGGCTTACTCTTTATCCATTTTGCACCTCCTTACTCTCTCCTTCTAGGTTATAGTCTATCCATTGCCCGTTATACAAGGGACCCTGGAAGTATTGCAGACCTAGTAAATGAAGTTGTTTTAAAATGCCAAATGACAACTACACAAAACTAATCAACTAAATATCCACAAAATAATATCATATTTTTATGTCACTTGCAACTTAGAGTACATATAAATTCTATTTTTGTGGGTCTAGGGAGACAGTTCAGTTGGTAAAGTGCTTGCTACACAATCAGGATTCCTACCACTGATGTGAAAGCTGACCCCAGCAGCATCTTAACCCCAGTACTAGGGGCAGCACAGAGACAAGCGGATCCTGGGGCTTGCTGGCCAATCAGTCTAGTAAAAATGGCAAACTCCAGGGTCACTGAGAGTCTCAAAGAAAAAGATAAAGCAATGGAAGAAGACACCCAACATTGAGCTCTGGCCTCCATACACATGTACACAGGGTCAAGCACCCCCCACACATACACATGCATAACACACACCACACACACACATACACACACACACACACACACACACACAATTCTATTTTGTTTTGGTTCATTTTAACATGATTGACAGATATAGGGTAGGGTCACAAATAAGTACCTGGTCTTACAAAGCCCTAAGCTGGTACTGCTCACAGTCTGTCCACGCTTCCTTTTGCCTTTCCTGTCCCCTAAGTCTGCCTCTCCCTCCAGGCCAGGCTCCAGCCATCATCTCCACCTTCACCTCATGTTTTCTGTCTTACCTCTTCAGTTGAGTGCTTTATCAAATAATTTCTAGATTCAAACTTCATAGAATTTCTTACATGATTTTTTTTTTATCACAAATGAGACTCTTTTCAGACCTGAGACCACATCAATTGGTTATTAACACTTAAAAGCTCTTAATTCTTATGGCAGCAGTACTAAATAAGGACTAATGATCCCTCGGCATTAAAAATTATCCAAGCTGATCTCAGGGCCAGAGACAATATAGCAAGCTGGCCTTTACCCACCAGAGATCTCCAGCCAAAGCAGTACTTCTGCTTGCCCTTGGTGCAGAGAGGGCATCTGTCTCTCTGAAGTCCCATGAACAAAGGCAACATGGTACTTGGTCAGAGCTAAGGTCCCTGGCTCAGTGTGATACAGACATATCTGCAGGTGTGCCTCCCACTCAGAGGAGGCACTACAATGAATCTAATGGCAAAGTAGGAGAATGTTTTGGTTCTACTCAGTTTTTCTGTTAGCAAATACAATGTGTTTCATCAAGTCTATGCTTAGAAATCACTACCATCTCTATACGAAGATAAGGAAACCAAAATATAAACATAGTAGCTCAGAGGTGGTGGTACTTGCAACTCTGTATATATTCAGAAATGGGCTTGAAAATATTAAATGCACCACTGCCCTGGAGGAAAGGAAAACCCAAACTGGGTGAGGTGACGCGTGTCTTTAGTCCTAGCACTCGGGAGGCAGAAGCAGTTATAGCTCTGTGAGATTGTGACCAGCCTGGTCTACATAGAGTTCCAAGCCAACCAGAATTACAGGGAGACCCTGTCTCAAAAAGACAAAAAGGAAAAGGAAAATTCAAATGTGAGGAAAAGCTGTAAATAAAAACTAATCAGAGGTAGCAGGTACTGTTCATTTACTGTGTGCCAGGCATCATATCCCATGGACAAGATACAGAGTTTATTAATCTCGCCTTCATAGATAGGACACCAAGGATCAGAGCTGCCTGAATAAGGCCACATGGTACAGTTGGGTTTGACCTTAAGCTATCTTCTGGGAAAGACTGTGGCCAACCTGGAAGAATGGGAGAGGAAAAACTATGCTTGACCCAAACCCTTTGTTCCTGCACAAAGCAACCAGACATGCTTTACCCACTGACCCTTCTGGCCTTATCATTACTGCAGCTGGAATCCAAAATACACCTTCTGTTCAAAGGGCACATCTGAGCTTTCCAGATATCAACATATAATACTGCATGATCCCAAGGGTTATGCCATTTTGGCCAAACTAGTTTCTTCCCTCCACTCTTCTGCGACACCCCAGCCTCTTGAAGCTTTCTGGTTTTTTGTGCTAGTTTATCTAGTAAGCGAAAGTCAATTGGTTCTCTTTCCATCCAAAGCGAGTGCTGGATGTCCTGGGGCTGTCTGCCCCTTCCAGGCAGCTAGTTGATTCTCCTTCTGAGTTTTGTTATTTTAGCAAGAGTGCCTGTGCCCTCTCACCATCAGCAGCAAGTTTCTTAAAGGCAGACACTGTGCCATTTATAGCTGTATGTTTCTACCAGCTTCATTCCTCTAATTAAAAAAAAAAATTCACCTTATTTCGCACTTTTGGTTTACTTATCAGTGTTCAGTCTGCTCATTCATTGCAGACTGGATACCTGCAGGGTGCTTTATTCTCACTGCTGGAAAAACAAGTGAAAAAATAACAGCCAACATTTATTAGTAGTGCATTTCAAAAAAGGATAGGTTTTTTGGAATATACCTATGGAACTGTTTTTTAAAAATGAAAAAATAAAATGGAGGCTGGGGAGATGGCTCTGTAGGTAAAGTGCTTGCTGTGCCAGTATGAGGACCTGAGTTTGGATCTCCAGCACCCACATAAAAGCCTGGCACAGAGGTACATGTCTATACCAGTGCAAAGGAGGCAGAGAAAGGCAGATCTCTGGAGACTGCTGGCCAGCCAATCTAGCCTGATTAGTGAGCTCCAGGTTAAATGAAAGACTCTGTCTCAAAAATAAGGTGGAGGACCAGTGAGATACCTCAGTATGTAAAGGCACTGTCCACCAAGTCTGATGACCTCAGTTCGATCCCCAGGACTCACATGGTGGAAGGAGAAAATCAGCTCCCACAAGTTGTCCTCTGACCTCCACAAATGCACCGTGGCATGTGAGCAGCCCCCCAATAAATAAGTGTAATAAGAAAATAAAAAAGAATTATTAAAAATGTACACATGTATATACCACACACACTAAATAAAATAAAGATGTATAAATTTTAAAATGCTAATGATCAAAATTATTGCAGTAGCTTCCAAGATTGACCTTGACTCTCCAATTTGAAATATGATGAAAATATTTGAAGATATTAAAATGGTATAATAGCAAACTGTAACTATTTTCATTCGGACCTTTTTTTTTCTGTCCTTCAGGGAACCAATCCACTGTACAGAGGCTCCACTAGCACGTTTAAAAATGTGACCTATAAACACAGGGATAAACAAAAGGCGGACCTTTCCACAGATGGGTAGACGTATTTCAGGTGTGAAGAAAGTCTGATTCCTTGACATGAAAGGTTAATGAACTGTTTGATTTTTCTTTTTTGTTGCTTCAAACGGAGGTTGGCTTAAGATAATAATAGGTCATTTGGCGATCAGTTATTCTCTGCATGAGGTGAGACACTGTGATGGCAGGTTCAAAATAATCAAGAAAGGAATATCCTTAGCAAAAAGGTGACTTCGGAGATCACTTGAGGAATACTAACTCGGCTGCATCAATGCCTCAAAAAGTCATCAAAATGATTCATGGGGGCCTGATTTGCATTTGAAAAATGTTCAAATTAGAATCTCATTTCTTTCCTGAACACAGCTACCTAAAGTGTTGTCTGAGCACTGTCACAAAGCCCATATGCTTGTGTTGTGTACGCACGCTGACCACATATTCTCAACTTATAGTAAATCTACCCTTTCCGAAAGGAAAATTTTTGTTTTAAGTATGAGAAATGAGATTCTGGTTTTAATTCAACTAAAAGGATACATTTCTTCCAACAATACCCCACATGTAAAACTGGAAATTAAGCGTTAATTCCTGTGAATGTGTTCACACTTTAAAATCGTGTACACAAACAAGTATTTTGTTTCACAGATGAAACAGAAGTAATATAGATCATGTTGCTAGTAAAACTGAAAATAGCAACGCTATTATCTAACTTATTTTTAAATTACCTGAAAAATAATCTTCTATGCTCAGTTTCCCTCTTGTCCCTCTTTTCAACCTATTCTTCTATATTTCTTAATCATTTTACTCAGTTTCACAGTCTTCAAAGTCCTGTAATTGTGATATGAAAGCATTCATTTGGAAAAAATAACTAAGTGGCTAGCTTATTCAAAGAGTTTCAATAATATGAAAAAAATGTGGGGTAGCAGAATAAAATGTTCAGTTGCTTTGCATCAAGTATATCAAAAACACACAAGTCCCTCATGGAGTTTGGGCTTCTTATGGTATTCTCTGTCCCATCTGCACCCGGCGAGCACATTCCCACTGCATGAAGAGTCTGTACCATGCATTTACTCTAAGAAGGCTACTTGCAAAATCCACATGGGCAGTTAGAGATCCATCAGCAGACTGGAGAGGTGGGCTTTGCAGAATAGTGTTTCTGATGGTTACTGATGCATACAAAGCACTTTCTCCTCATTTGATCCTCACTGGGAAAGTAAGAATGAGCAGAAGAGCTGAGTTCAGAATCTCCATCTTCTAACTCGAAATCAAGTCCTTTCCTCCCTGTGCTGCATGAGACTCTTGTCAGTTAAATGATAGAAAGGTTGTGTTAGTTAAGACATTATCATTTTGTTTGAAAGTGTACAGACACTAAACAGTTTTAAACCCCTACTATGTGGGTGAGTTATTGTATTTTTGTGCAGTGTGTATTACTTAGATTAAATAGCAATGTGAAGCTTTTCACTAGGTGAACAGTTCCTTAGATAGTGGAGGCTTCGTGGTTGTCCATTGAATTGTCAGCTTAATCTCAAAGCTCCTTCAGTCTTTCCCAGATAGATCTGTACACATTTGATCATTGGGAGACTTTCTTTTCTGGTTTCTAAATAACTCAGGTAAATGGGGCAGTTAGGGAGTACACAATTATATTTAAAAGAAAACTCTAAAGAATTTCCTTAGACCCTTGAAAGGTGGATGTACCCCAGGCTCTGACCAACATCCGGATCCCCATGGGAGTCTAGAGGAACATGCAGATGTGCTCCCATTACATGCCAGGAGCTGTCACCTCCACATGGGACTGCTTGGGCTATTTTTTTCTTTTTTATTACTAAAATGAGATTTTAGGAAATATAGGTTTCTTTCATGTGTGTATTAGAAAGAATCTACTCTTTCTCTAAATACTGTTTTGACCCAAGGCAGGACCTTGTAGAGGCCAAAACATTAACAGTAGTACTTCTGTTCACTGAAGAGTTATGTTACATGAAGAAATGGTTGTTTTATAAATTGTTTTACTGTATTTTGCATTGACATAAATAAACATGGTAATTTAAGCAATGAATCAGTTGAATGACAATGCCTTTTGTTTACTTGGTACAAAACAATCTTTTTGGATTCCTGGGTCCTTCTGTAATTGCTATGACTGCCTTGGTGGTTTCAGTCCAGGGCCAAGGAGAAGAGCAGAATAAGGCAGCCCCCAAGGCAGGAGGCCATAGGGGAGAGATATCATTTGCTGCCTGGTGACAATACTTACATCATGAGGCCATTAAAACAGGCCAAAAGATTACCCCACATTTAGTAAAATCAAGTTCTTTAGGAAGAGTATCATGGACTTAAACATGTGCTTTGTCCCTGAATACTCTCCCAAAACAACTTCTGTATTGCTATCTTAACCCCCAGCATCTTAGAGTGTGACTGTATGATGACAGATAGGCTCTTTAGAGGCAACCAACTTTGAATGGGGTTACAGTGTTGGGCCCTAATCCAACATGACTGGTGTCCTGTGTAAGAAGAGGAGACAGGACATAAATGTGCACAGAAGGAAGACCATGAGAAGACACAGGGAAAAGACCACTGTCTAAACCAGGGAGAGAGGCTTCAGGAGACACCAACCCAGGTGCCACCTTGCTTCCTTACGGGCCTCCAGAATTGTGAGGAAATGAATTTCTGTTCTTTAAGCCACACTTTGGCACTATGTTTAGGCACTCTTAGCAAACTAACTCAATCAGGTAGTGGTGTTCTTCTGGGAATTCATTTGGCAAGTCCATGGTACCATACTTATTTTCTTTTAACTTTTAAAATTGGTGTATATTCATGGTCCGTAGTGTTGGGTTTCATAAAGATAATTTCTTTATACATCATGTATTTTGACCCTATTCACTCTCAGTATCCTTCCCTTTCTGTCTCCTCCCCTTTTCTACTCTTGCTAGTGTCCTTTCTTCCCTGAGGAAGGACCTAAGACACACAAATGAGAAGAAACATGCAACATTAGTCTTTCTGAGTCTGATTTACTTCGCATCATTCATTGACCAGAAATCATAATTTTATTTGTCTTCATGGCTGAATAAAACTGCATTGTGTATATATACCACATTCTCTTTATCTGTTCATCTGTTGATGGATATCTAGGCTGATTCTATAATGTGACTGTTGTGAATAGCACTGCCATAAACATGTATATACAATTATCTCTGTGATATGTTGGCCGGGGTCCTTTGAGTATGTACACAGAATTGGTATGACTGGGTCATATGGTAGTTCTATTTTCAACCTTTTAGGTACAGCCATCTTGATTTCTACTGTGGCTATGTACATGTACATTCCCACCAGCATTTGTTCCTTTTCTTCCACATCCTTGCCAGCATTTATTGCTATTTTTAATAATATTTTTATGAATTCTTTGAGAATTTCATATAATAAATATATTTCGATTCTTTACCCCCATCTTTTTTGTTATTTTTTTCTTTATGATGGCCATTATGACTGTAGAAGGATAGAATCTTGGTGTAGTCTTAATTTTCAGTCCCCTGATGGCTAGAGACATTAAACATTTTTTCATACATTTATTGGCCATTTGTATACCATCTTTTTAAAACCATCCATGTCTTTAGTCTCCTTGTTGACTGAGTTGATTTAAGTTCTCCCCCACCCCCCGCCACCTTGTGTGTGTGTGTGTGTGTGTGTGTGTGTGTGTGCATGTGCATGTGGGTGTGGGTGTATGTACATGTGAAGTTCAGAGGTCTGTTTGGGGTGTCTTCCTCAGTCATTTTCTAACATATTCTTATATTTTTTGAGACATGGTCTCTTACTGAACCTGGAGCCCATTGATTTGGCTTGGCTGGCTGACCAGCTAGCTCCTGGGATTCCCACCTCTCCCCCCACCTCCCACTAGCACTGGGGTTATAGATACATGGCTATTCCTGCTTTGTATGTAAGTGCTGGGGATCTGAACTCAGGTCCTCATGCTTGCTCAGTAGCACTTTACCAAAAGAGTCATCTCCTCCCCTTTTTTTTTTAGTTCCTTATATATTCTGGATCTTAATATTGTGCCAGATAGATAGGTAGCAAAGATTTTGCCCTATTCTGTAGACTGTCTCATTATTTGATTGTTTCCTTTCCTGTGCAGAAATCTTTCATTTTTTTATTTCATGAAGTTCCATTTGTCAATTCTTGGTATTATTTCCTGAGTTACTGAGTCCTTTTCAGAAATCCCTTGCTTATGCTTATATATCTTCAAGTGTTTTAGCTGTGTCTTCCTCTAACAGTTTCAGAGTTTCTATTCTTAGATTAAAATCTTTGATAAGGGCTGGAGAGATTGCTCTGCAGTTAAGAGCACTTACTGCTCCTGCCAAGAATCCAGGTTCAGTTCCCAGCACCACATTGGGAGGCTCACAACCACCTATAACTCAAGTTTTAGGGAATCTAATGCCCTCTTCTGGCCTTCTCAGGTTCCTACACACATGTAGTGCACATATATACTCAGACACACACATATGCATAAAAATAACAAACAAATCTTTTAAAATATCTTGTATATCTTTTGAGTTGATTTTTACATAGGACAAGAGATATAGATCTGATCTCATTCTTACACATGTGGACATCTAGTAGCAGACCTTGAAATCAGGTATGGTGCTATCTCTAGCTTTATTCTTTTTGCTCAAGATTTCTCTTGCTACCTAAAAGTATTTTGTGTTTCCATATGAGTTTGAGGATTATTTTTACTATTTTTGTTAAGAATGCCATTAGAATTTTGATGGGATTGCATTGAATCTGTAGATCACTTTTGGTAATATGGCCATTTTCACTATATTTTGCCAATCCAGGAGCATGATAAGTCTTTCCATCTTCTAGTGTGTTTTCTTCAATTTCTTTCTTCAGCCTTGAAAAACTTTCCCTTTTAGAAGTTCTTCACTTTCTTGGTTAAGTTTATTCTTTGGTTTTTTTCAAAACCATTATAAATGTGGTTGTTTTTCTGATTCCTTTCTGGCATGCTCATTACTGGTAAACAGACATATCAAATTTTTGGATCCAGACAATT